TTTTTGTTGACCTTTGTCCATGGAAGGTCCCTGCAAAATTTCATTGAAATTGGTTCAGGGGTTTTGGAGAAGAAGTCGAAAATGTAAATTGTTTACGGACGCACGACGGACGACAGACGACGGACGACGGACGACGACGGACAAAAGGCGATCGCAATAGGTCACTTGAGACTTTGTCTCAGGTGACCTAAAAATGTGAAACATGTGACCTTGAAAGTCAAACAAGGACATTAAATTTCAAGTTGAACAGACTTTATAGCCTTTCATACCAGCATGCTTCTGGCCAAATATCATTACCCTGGACCTTTATATTATTCAGAGGTTGTTTGAAGATTTCAACATATTCGACCCCTGTGACCTTGCAGATGGGTGAAGGTCATTCATTTGAACAAAGTTGGTAACCCTTTATCCCAGCATGTTACTAGCCAAATATCAAACCACCCTAGGCCTCTTGGTTATTCAGAAGTTGTTTAAAGGTGTTAAACATATTTGATCCCTGTGACCTTGAATATAAGTCAAGGTTATTCATTTGAACAAACTTGGTAGCTCTTGATCCCAGCATGTTAATAGCCAAATATACTCACTCTAGGCCTCTTGGTTATTCAGAAGTTGTTTAAAGGTTTTAAATATATTTGACCCCTGTGACCTTGAATATAAGTCAAGGTCATTCATTTAAACAAACTAGGTAGCTATTCTTCCCAGCATGTTACTGGCCAAATATCATCACGCTAGGCCTCTTGGTTATTCAGAAGAAGTTGTTTAAAGATTTTAACATATTTGACCACTGTGACCTTGATGAAAGTGATTTATTTGAACAAACTTGGTAGCCTTTCATGCCAACATGCTACTGGCCAAATAGCATCACTCTAGACCTTTTGGTTACTGAGAAGGAGAAGAAGTTGTTTAAAGTAAAATAATGACGCTGGACAGACGGACAATGGACGCCGCACCATGGCATAAGGGCAGGTGAGCTAAAAATAATTTTCCTCAAATAGAGAATAAAAGGTACAGGTTTATCGCAATAACAAAAGTGTAAAATTTCACAACTGATCATAGGGTATTATTTTATTTCTCTTTAAGAAACAGTTCCATTACTTTTGAATTTTATTGATTATTTAGAAGAAGTCGTTTGATGTTTTTGACATATTTGACACATGTGACCTTGAAAGTAGGACAAGGTCATTTTCATTCTCAAACTTTGTTGGGCTCTATCCCAGGAAGCCACCAGCGAAATTTGAAGATTCCATACCTTTCAGTTCTTCAGAAGAAATTGTTTGAAGTGTTTGACACATTTGACCCCTGTGACCTTGAAAGTAGGTCAAGGTCATTTTCATTCACAAACTTAGTCGGGCTCCTACCAATGAAGGTTTCACTTTAATATCATGGCTCTATGCCTGTTCGTTCTTCAGAAGAAGTTGTTTAAAGGAAAAGTTGATGGAAGACAGACGCTGGACCATGACAGGCAGGTGAGCTAACAATGTCAACAAATTCTATTCCATTGTCCTGTAATAAGCCCACCCCCTATTTTGAATCAGTGATTATGTGTTGGCCCCCTGGGCTTATTACAGGATTATAACAACAGAAGTTATAAAATCATTACGAGGGATGTCCCACACTTACAGCCGGTGCGGATGTACAGGTCATTTCATCATCGTTGAGCAATATCTGTAGCAGCTCCCCAGAGAGCTTGCGCTGCTTTCCATTGCCCGATTCCTTATTCTTGGCTTGTAGAAGAAGCGCATTTTCTTCCTTGCTGAGGAGTTGCTGAAGAAGCAAGAAGACAAGAGTGTTCATCCCACTATCATAACACAATGTTCATCAATTGTTAAATATTTCAGTGATGTGATTTTTGAGTCCGGTGTAGAAGATCTTAATCCTGTATCTGTTAATAATCTTAACCAAACATAACCAAAACTTAATATTGAATTACTGTATACCGTAAAACTTTCAGCATGTCAAACTTTCGCCCTTTCCCCATAAAATCAACATTTATCCATCTTCAATCTTATCTCAGTCACACTGACGGATGATGGAATGGGTTGACATGACAAAGTCAGGGTCACCATTGTTCTGGTTCGTAAACAGCGTGCTCTTAGTCTGAACAAACACATAGCAACTGCCTTCTAACTTAAAGCGATAGACACTGCTTGTGTTGGTTCTGGATTTCACATCTTATATTCTGTGTACTTATATTTGCTGTTATGATAAATGTACACTCATGTCGGAGGTCAAAAAAGGCGAACATTTTCCAGTACACAGTATTTGTTAAGATAAGACAAGAGGCCCAAGGGCCTTAGCGGTCACCTGAGTTATATTATAGGTACTGGTAGCGGTCACCTGAGTTATATTATAGGTACTGGTAGCGGTCACCTGAGTTATATTATAGGTACTGGTAGCGGTCACCTGAGTTATATTATAGGTACTGGTAGCGGTCACCTGAGTTATATTATAGGTACTGGTAGCGGTCACCTGAGTTATATTATAGGTACTGGTAGCGGTCACCTGAGTTATATTATAGGTACTGGTAGCGGTCACCTGAGTTATATTATAGGTACTGGTAGCGGTCACCTGAGTTATATTATAGGTACTGGTAGCGGTCACCTGAGTTATATTATAGGTACTGGTAGCGGTCACCTGAGTTATATTATAGGTACTGGTAGCGGTCACCTGAGTTATATTATAGGTACTGGTAGCGGTCACCTGAGTTATATCATAGGTACTGGTAGCTCAATTTCATTGTTGAAATGTGATGTGGAAATCAATATGTAAACTAAGTGAAATACAATACTTGTCATGTCATCAAAGGATAAGAATTTTAAAATATTGGTAAATGTTGCCTTTGGGGCCCCCCCTAGCCCCTGGGAATGGGGCAGGAATTCCAATTTTACAATGTAATACCTTCATCCACAAAAGATGATTCTGTCCAAGTTTGAATAATTTTCTGCTAAAAATGGATAAAATATACTCAAAAGTGTTATTTCCCTATATAAACTATAGTATACTCACAGCTAGCATTGAACAATTCCAGCACTGCTCATCCACATACTCATTTACAGCTGAGTAGACTGGAAGAAGCGGAGTAAAGTATCTTGTAAAAGAATTCAGCACAGTGCCATGACGGGATTCGAACCTGCAACCCTTTGGTCATGAGCATGGCGCCCTACCACTAGACTACCGTGCCTCAATGTGCCATAGCATCAGATCTTTAGGGGACAAGTAAGCAAAAACGGGGATATTTTAATCCTTTCACCCCTATGTAGATCTGAATGAGTCAATTATAATCTACAGTGGTGACAGGGTTAAGAATTGTCATAAGGTCACCAACACATGTACCAATTCTGTGCATGTTGAACCTTTCAAAAATGTTGTAGTTCCTGAGATTAGAAACTGTACTTGGTATTAGCTTACCTTCAGTAATACATTGGCTGGCTTTTTAGCCTCTGCCTCATTTTTCTCCATTTCTCCGCTGCCTTCCAGTGTGCCTGCCTCATTACTGGCCTTGCTCTCCACCTCCTGCTCTGTGTCTTCCTCCTGACTAAGCAGCTGTTTGAGGATGAAATTGCTCTGGTCAGATTTAGGCTTTGACCTGCCGTCGCTGTCATCGTTCTGTGTAGTGCTCTGAGGTTTGTCAGGAGGACTCTGACCAGGTCCCGGCTGTGGACTCTGAATACCACTATCTGCTGGAGATTTCACTACAGAGCTGTCCAATATTTTATTATCCCTTATGCCTGAGGCATTACTATCCACAGAGGAACTCCGACTGAATAAGTCATAGTCGGAACAGGACGATGTCTGAGTCAGTAACATACACAGTTTGCCCACCCGGGCATTTGATGGGGTAGTTCTTTTTTCCAATCCCTGGTTTTCAGACCCAGGGAAATTGAACTCACTCCCTGAAAGCCGAGGGGAGGGGCTTACATGGTTGGATCCAATCATATTAGACTGCTGGGAGTCCATAGACTGAAGTGCCTGTAAGGGAGTAGTAGCTGATTGGCTGGAGGCGAGACCTCCAATGTTGCTGACTTGTGGAGGGTGCATTCTCACCCACGACTGGATCCCTTGGTTCCCAGACACTGTAAAGGAACAAAGCGTGCATGTTAGATAGATAACAGATACAACTTCTATCTAATACCTTGTATTAAATCTGATGTAAATGACTTCTTTGAGGCAACTCTCAAGTGAAATCAACAGAAGGGAGATAACTGCTAGTTTTTATTGAACTTGGTTTGAGTTCATAAAGTTTATTTGTCTCTATTACTCATGTTACATTAAGGAAGTAAAAAGCAGATATGTTTATTGCTTAAAATCTGAACTAGATAAATATTGAATAAAACAGTAGCACACTGCATTTCAAACTGCTTCATTTTTTAAGAAAATCCGAAATTAGGTAGCTGAATTGAGAATTGTTTTTTATTTATTATAAAACTAGTACATATTTCTTTACCTTGGTATAGTGTTATTAATTGCCTGAAAAATAAAGTATAGACAGCACACAAGTACAGATGATTTATTTTTAAAAGTTGAGATAATATCTAATACTAATGGTAGAGATGGGGTGTCTGTTGAGTGTAATTTGTCAGTGAAACCATTTATTATAGCAAACCCAACCATTAATATATCTAAAAAAGAAACTCAATCTTAACCAAAGAAATTTAGCTAATTGTTAAACGGTTACTGCAGGATATGATTATCATAATGACATGGATAGTAATATTTCCCCTCAATTTAGGGTAATGTATAGAATGGCATAGAAGGGTACATATACTGCGGAGAAAATATCTGACCTATGACCTCGACCTGAATCAACATATGACCTTGACCTGAATCAACATATGACCCAAGATCTAACTCACTAATTGTGTGATCAAGTGACATATTACTTTGACCTACCTGGAGGTGGTCCGGACGATATTGGTGGAGTCCGCTGATGTGGGTATGGCACTCCGATATTCCCACTTCCTGCGGGAGACATACGGTTCAGAGATCCAGAACTACTTCCTGGACTACGCTGATTAGAATATCCCATCATGCCCATGTTACGTTGATTTGGCATAGGAAATGGCATATTTTTCGGATTTGAGCTTGGAGAGAACCCTGGACTTTTCTGTCCGGAGGTTTCAAAAGAGTTACTTCTCTGGAAGTTCATAGCAGCTTGAAGCTGTCGTTTGTCTGCCATAGAGACCTGCTGTGGAAGGGGTGCCATGTTGGGCCTCTGCTGTAATTGTTGAACCATGACAGATGATTTCATTGATCCAATATTATTGTTCCACGAATTCATGTTGACACTTTGGGACACTGGTGTCCTCGAGTTCCCACTTGACATAGCAAAGTTGCCATTATTTCCTACTGCGGAATTAATCCCAGAGATCTCGGATGCAAATGTATCCCAACTGTGGGAAGAAGTAAAGAGGTCGAGACTGTCCTCCTCCTGGGGGGGCATAACTCCGCCCGAGCCCATCCCCTGCGACATGAACGAGGGGTTAAGTGTGCCGAGCATCATGGACAAGTTCTGATTTACAGGGCTATTTGGATTTCGCTGGCTGGTCAACAGAGGTGACTGACCAATGATAGACTTCATAAGACTGGACGATGCCGAGCCCTTCAGTTCATTATCAGAGTCACACTGACGGATGATGGAATGGGTTGACATGACAAAGTCAGGGTCACCATTGTTCTGGTTCGTAAACAGTGTGCTCTTAGTCTGAACAAACACATAACGACTGCCTTCTAACTTAAAGCGATAGACACTGCTTGTGTTGGTTCTGGATTTCAGCACTGCAGAAACACAGAAGACATCAGTTCATAGGTTGTAAAATACTCAATATGTATTATAACTCAATATATTTAATCCCAATTTCAATACTGCAGAGAAAATGTTTTATTATATTTCACAAAAACAACTAGGTGAACCATAAAATTTTAAAATTGATTATTAAATTTAATCAAAATTAAATGAAAAAAATAGAAGTATTTTTTTTTTCAAAATAAGTTCTGTTCTTTCTGTTAAGCTAAAAAATATCCATACCTTTTTTGTATCTAATTTGTCCTCTTGCTCAAAGCGAAATATTGGAATAAATGAATGTGACTTGCAAGGAAGGCACCAGAATATAAGTATACTTGCCTTCCTGTATGTGTTTAGATAAAATCTGTACATCATTGAGGTGGCAAAAATCCTGGAGATTCTGTCCAATGAAGTTAGGGCAGGTATAATGTCCTGGTGCTATACCACTGAAACAATACAATCTACATTTCAATTATCCGCTGAATGAATCCTTCTTCGAAAGTCAGCTGAATTCACAAAAAGAATATTGGAAGAGGTGGGAATGAGCTGATCTAATCTTGATATCATTAGGATACAAACTATGACGTCAAGGAGGAGGCTGAAGGGTTCAGTATATATACACCATACCTTGTATCATGAGCTATAATTTTTCCGTTTAAATCCTGTTTCGTAGTAAATTGTTCAATGCCCAGCATTGTATTGGTCTTCTCTGCTAAAGAAAGTCGTCGTGCAATACACACTAGACAAGACTGGCCTTCTGCGAAAAAATAAATTCCTATCATCAGTACATCTGTAAATTATAATTACAGCAGAACCTGTTTAATCTGACATCTTTTGAAACGATATATAGGTCATAAAGGCAAAGAATGTTTTAAACACAGACTGGAATTAAAACTTATTTTGCGAGCTTTCGAAAACATCTGTTTCCTTTGTCAAGCAAAGAGTGTACCAAACTGATGATTCTTATTCCCCCAAAAAAAGTCTGATAGGACAGGATATCAGAATACAGAGGTGCTGTCAAGTAGTTTTCTTAAATGATATTAAAGATTTATGTAAATTGTAAAGATATAGAAAATGATTAGATATATAATATTGTATTATATAGCTATATATAGTACCTGTGCTCTCCGAGGCATCAGAAAATTTTTCCCCGGGCTGCAAAATGGCAGAGATTTGCATATTCTCATATTGAGATACATAGGTTTGTTTAACCTCGACATCATCGTTTTCTTCACCTAATGAAAAGAAAGAAAAAAATGAACTAGAAAAAGGACATAGATGAGTGAGCGTAACATCAGATAGGAAAATTGTACAGTAGCGATGTGTATAACAACTCCCAACACTTGACACACAATGCTTAAAACCGATTAAGAGAAGGATTTCCTTATAGTCTGAACAGCTTGGTGTTTTCTTGCAAACTCAACGACTTTGAAACCGCATAATTAGAATAAGTTAAATCTGAATGTTCATCTTTAAATTTTTGTTATATTTTTTCTTCTTAAGTTGATCCTTTGTAAGAATACTTGTGAACCAACATGACATAAATTTGTCAGCTCATATGTACTTGTAAGTTGACATAAATTTGTCAGCTCACATAAATGGAAGAAATTTGCCTATTCTCCTAATAAGATGCATAGGTTTATGTGCTATAAAGATCATTATTTTCTTTACCTGTTGAATAGAAGTCACAGATGAGTGAACAAGTCACATAACATCAGACTAGAAGGCTGTTAATATATTAATGTTTATGCACTTGTAAGCTCGAAAGTACTTATAAGCTCATGTGTTCCTACAAGCTCACATGTGTATTTGTAAGCTCATGTGTTCCTACAAGCTCAAATGTGTTTTAATAAGCTCAGGTGTTCCTACAAGCTCACATGCGTACTTGTAAGCTCATGTGTTCCTACAAGCTCACATGTGTTCTTGTATGCTCAGGTGTTCCTACAACCTCACATGTGTTCTTGTAAACTCATGTGTTCCTACAAGCTCACATGTGTACTTGTAAGCTCATGTGTTCTTACAAGCTCACATGTGTTCTTGTAATCTCAGGTGTTCCTACAACCTCACATGTGTACTTGTAAGCTCATGTGTTCTTACAAGCTCACATGTGTTCTTGTAATCTCAGGTGTTCCTACAACCTCACATGTGTACTTGTAAGCTCATGTGTTCTTACAAGCTCACATGTGTTCTTGTAAGCTCAGGTGTTCCTACAACCTCACATGTGTACTTGTAAGCTCATGTGTTCCTACAAGCTCACATGTGTTCTTGTAAGCTCAGGTGTTCCTACAACCTCACATGTGTACTTGTAAACTCATGTGTTCTTACAAGCTCACATGTGTTCTTGTAAGCTCAGGTGTTCCTACAAGCTCACATGTGTATTTGTAAGCTCATGTGTTCCTACAAGCTCACATGTGTACTTGTAACCTCATGTGTTCCTACAAGCTCACATGTGTTCTTGTAAGCTCAGGTGTTCCTACAAGCTCACATGTGTACTTGTAAGCTCATGTGTTCCTACAAGCTCACATGTGTACTTGTAAGCTCATGTGTTCCTACAAGCTCACATGTTTACTTGTAAGCTCATGTGTTCTTACAAGCTCAAAAGTACTTGTTTTCTTTTTAGATCTTTCGAAAGTGCAAGCTCATGTGTACTGGTATGCTCACATTGTAAACTCACATGAACCTGTACGCTAACTTCAATTGTAGGCTCATGTATCCATGTTCTTATATTCTTTTGTGCTTGTAAGCTTTCTAAATGTGTAAGCTCTTGTGAAATTGTAAGCTTTCTAAATTTGTAAGCTCTTGTGAAATTGTAAGCTTACTATACTTGTAAGCTCTTGTTTAATTGAAAGCTTACTATAATTATAAGCTCTTGTGTAATTGTAAGCTTACTATACTTGTAAGCTCTTGTTTAATTGATAGCTTACTACAATTATAAGCTCTCATGTAATTGTAAGCTTACTATACATGTAAGCTCTTGTGTAATTGTAAGCTTACTATAATTATAAGCTCTTGTGTAATTGTAAGCTTACTATAATTATAAGCTCTCGTGTAATTGTAAGCTTACTATAATTATAAGCTCTCGTGTAATTGTAAGCTTACTATAATTATAAGCTCTTGTGTAATTGAAACCTTACTATCATTATAAGATCTCGTGTAATAGTCAGCTTACTATAATTATAAGCTCTCGTGTAATTGAAACCTTACTATAATTATAAGCTTTCGTGTAATTGAAACTTTACTATAATTATAAGCTCTCGTGTAATTGAAAGCTCACTATAATTATAAGCTCTCGTGTAATAGTCAGCTTACTATAATTATAAGCTCTTGTGTAATTGAAACCTTACTATAATTATAAGCTCTCGTGTTATAGTAAACTTAGATCTGACTCATCAAGCTTTATAAGCTAGAAGACAAATGAAGATTAACTTTTAATTAACTCTGAATCGATTATTACTGCCAAAGTTTTGATTGGAAGCCAAATATTCTTGTCTTAAAAATGGAATTTAAGTATCTGACAAACATTTTAATGACTGTGTACTTACATGGAGGTTTAATCAGCATGCGACAATTAAATGTTCGGCCTTTGGCCGCTACAGCCTCTGTTGACCAAGGGATAACACTCGCTACAAAAACGAAAATAAGATTAATATTACTGAATGTCATTTATATGAATACATCTCACAGCTCTTTTCTTATTTCTATTTGACAAAATTAGTTAAAGTGACTACAAGCCAAAGGGCAATCTGGAATTAAAGTGCTGTCAAAGTGTCGGAACCTCCTAGTAGATCAGTGTTGGTTTTAACATGTAATGATAGTAATCCATTTTAATTTAACATTCTGAATCTTTTAATGCATTTATTTCACATATTGTGATACCTGACTTTACCGATATCAAAAACTGATTCTACCAACACCTAACTTAACAGACGCCTGACTGTAACGACACCAATATTTGATTTTACCAACAACTGACTTAATCGAAAACTGACATTAACAACTTTACTGACACCTGAATTTTACGGAAATCAAAATCTGATTTTACCAACGATTGACTCAACTGATAACTAACTTAACCAACAATTTACTTTACTGACAACTGACTTTACCGACACCAATATTTGATTTTACCAACAACTGACTTTACAGACACCTGAGTTAACAGACACCTGACTTTACTGACACCAAAATCTGATTTTACCAACAACTGACTTTACAGACCCCTGACTTTACTGATACCGGACTTTACAGACCCCTGACTTTACTGATACCTGACTTTACAGACCCCTGACTTAACTGATACCGGACTTTACAGACCCCTGACTTTACTGATACCAGACTTTACAGACCCCTGACTTAACTGACTTCATTGACATTTGACTTTACTGATTTCCTTGTATGTAACCCTAACTTTATCGACACAAGTTAATTATATATGTAAGAGTTATCTCCCTTTGAAGTTTTTGAACAGCATTGTTAAATAGTTCAAAATGTTGTCAATCCATGAAATATCTGATGGACCAATGTATCAATCAACCAAGGGAAGCTGTTTGGATTGGAAGTCTTCTGGGTTGGAGTTACATTGTGTACAATATTACTGTAGCACCAATCGTTGCAGTCCTATAGTTGAGTGACACGTGTACTTACCTAATGATACTGGTAGTATTTTCCCAAGGGACATAGGAAGAAGGCTGCTACTAAATTTGGCATGATCCCCCACATGTATTATGTTATAGACACTTTTTCCAACTAGGTCATCCTACAACACGATGAAGATCATATATATTATGTATATCACACCAAAGCTTTGTGATGTCGTCGTGACAACAACCATTACGCAGCAAGTCATGATAACGACACTTAATAACTGTGGAAAACATGCATGTCATGTAAATTTGCATAAACTCATGGTCATTTCATAGAAGATTTTACAAAACTCCTCTCCAGTAATTCTTTTTTCTAACTAGGCTATCATTTAATACAACTTGTGTTTAACACGTTACAGCTGCAACTCATTAGCACCATCATCTCTATTCCTTATACTTTGACACCATTCGGAACAGTCTTATATTGAATTTACGACCCCTGAAATTTCATAATGAACTATTCCAACCTTTGAATTGGAAGAGTTTAAATGAATATTCAGGGGTGAATGAGTTAATCTTTTCATATAAATCAAAGAAACAATTGAGAACATGCTAAAAATTAAATAATTCAGCAATCTGAATATGTTTGTTTCTGTAATGGTGCAGTAACATTATTTTTTTAATTTCCTCCATTTGTGCAGATGGAGAAGGATATTGGAGATTTACCTCTATTTCTCATATTAGGGCATATACCTCTGCCCCAGGGACCACACCCTCTATTTATTCACTTTGAGTCCCATTTGTTGACCTGCAGTACGCCAGATCAACTAAATCCATTCTGATGTTCTCAACTAGGAGTTTCACAGACACTATTCTGGAGTATATAAGCTCACCTGACCATTTTCGGCCAGTTGATTCTACCAAATTCTACCCTTATTTCTTTCACTTACCTCTACATATTTAAGGTAACTGGACACATTTTCAGACACAAATTCAACTTTTCCTTGACCATTTACAACAAAAAGAAATCCATCAAGGGCCTGTAAATATACAAAACATGTACAACAAACATGAGAAATAAAACATTTTTATAGTTTGATTATCATTCATGTAATAACCACATTAACCATTTCACCACTGTAGACCATAATCGTCTCATCCACATCAATGCATGGCAGAGTCTACTAAAGTTACAGAGTTAACATGCTGCTGTCTGTCCATGTAATAATTTCTCATTTTAACACAACAAGGACATGTTTAACTCACTGCATTCCAATGTAATGACTTTATAATTCTGTATAGTCGTCCTTTTAAATGTTCGTTAGATCTCAATGTGTACGTTAATTGCTTGACGTAAATGACACAGAGTAAGAGAATATTTACCTCTAATAGAAGAGGCCCAATGACATTGTTGGCCAAAACTGTAGACTTGCTGGATGACACTTGACTTTGTTGTACTGCCTCTGATCCTGCTTCTGGAACAATACACAAAACTAGGTCACAGTTTTTACTCAAAATTAGGTCACAGCCTACAATCAAAATTAGGTCACAGCCTGAATTCAAAAATTTGTCAAATCAAAAAGTAAAATGGTTAAGTCCAAAAAATACAGAAAATCCTGTCAAAAAAAAAGAAAAGAAAAGAGAACAGTTCAGCTTCACTGCCTTCAAATATCAGTATGCCAATATATATATTGGGAAATTGTAAATCTTCACAGAAACTTAACCCAAACATATATTGGAAAATTGTAAATCTTCACAGAAACTTAACCCAAACATATATTGGAAATTGTAAATCTTCACAGAAACTTAACCCAAACATATATTGGGAAATTGTAAATCTTCACAGAAACATAACCCAAACATATATTGGGAAATTGTAAATCTTCACAGAAACTTAACCCAAACATATATTGGAAAATTGTAAATCTTCACAGAAACTTAACCCAAACATATATTGGAAATTGTAAATCTTCACAGAAACTTAACCCAAACATATATTGGGAAATTGTAAATCTTCACAGAAACATAACCCAAACATATATTGGGAAATTGTAAATCTTCACAGAAACTTAACCCAAACATATATTGGGAAATTGTAAATCTTCACAGAAACTTAACCCAAACACATGAACCTGCCTAATGCTCATGTAGGCGTATCCAATGAAATGTACTCTGTTTTTAGAACAGGTGAGCTTAAATCTAGGTGAAGTCTTGGTCATAGCTAAAAGTCAGTTTACATCAAACCAAGGTCATGGTGTGGGTACCCATGGGGGGGGGTCTATGCTGCTAGGAGACATGCTTATGTTTCTTGTTGTACCAATATTTAGGAAATGACAGATAGTTAATGGTTTCATCAACCAGCAGCATCCTAACCATTACTATGTACTGACAGGTGTTCCACCAGCAGCATGCTAACCATTACTATGTACCGACAGGGGTTCCACCAGCAGCATCCTAACCATTACTACGTACTGACAGGTGTTCCACCAGCAGCAGCCTAACCATTACTATGTACTGACAGGTGTTCCGCCAGCAGCATCCTAACCATTACTATTTACTGACAGGTGTTCCACCAGCAGCAGCCTAACCATTACTATGTACTGACAGGCGTTCCACCAGCAGCATCCTAACCATTTCTATGTACCGACAGGTGTTCCACCAGCAGCATCCTAACCATTTCTATGTACTGACAGGTGTTCCACCAGCGGCATCCTAACCATTACTATGTACTGACCGGAGTTCCACCAGCAGCATCCTAACCATTTCTATGTACTGACAGGTGTTCCACCAGCAGCATGCTAACCATTACTATGTACCGACAGGGGTTCCACCAGCAGCATCCTAACCATTCCCATGTACTGACAGGTGTTCCACCAGCAGCAGCCTAACCATTACTATGTACTGACAGGTGTTCCACCAGCAGCATCCTAACCATTACTATGTACTGACAGGTGTTCTGGTGCCACAGTGGATAACCCACTCGCCTGTTACCAAGGCGGCAGGGGTTAAATTCCCCAATTGGATGTGAAAAGAAATCACCTGCCTGACCACAAGGGTTTTCTCTGGGTACTCCAGTTTCCTCCCACATTAAACCCCTTTCAGGTTTCTATCTGGGCTAACAAGAGTGATGAGTATAAGTTAGAAAACTTGTTTCACAAATGTTGTGAAATAAATAAAGTTTATATAATATGAACTATAATGACATGAATTAGTGCTGAATTAAGTCTACAAACAGTTTGGTCTCTATTTCACCATACCAGGAAGCTGTGTAACAATTACTCCTCAACAACTTGGCGAGACAAACATTAATTTTCTGACATTAAACTTAGAGTTTTGACTGAAGATATTGGAATATAAACCATCAATTATAAGGTACATTTTCCATATCATTAAATTTTTCTACAAATTCCAGTTCACACAACCAAACATGACCTTTCTGCGCCATAGCAATGGTTCAGGTAAATACTTCATAATTTTTGAACAAAAGTCACCTTCGATAGTTTATTACAGCATCCTGATTTTATTTACGTTTTTGTCTTCTGTTTTAAGCATTTTGAATTTGGTATGAGTTTTATTTTGAGAACAAATGAGTTAATGGTTATTGATTATATTGGGTTGTTGTTGTTGTTGTTGTTGTTCAAAATGGGAAATATGAAAACTGTTTAAATTCTAGAGTGAGAGGACTGTTATTAAACGTTTAAAGTCTATTGTACTGTCAACTACATCAGACACTTGTACAATTGTTGAAATTAATTATGACACCATGAATGGTATAACTGAGTGTAAGCAATCAGAACTGCTCCTACTTTACTCATCGCTGTGTCCTCCCAACAAACATGGTCTCCACGTTGCCAAGACGGCAGTCTTTGAGGAGTGAACGAGGACGACAGCATGGGGATCATTCATCCATCACGTGTGCCGGACTCAAGCCCATGTGGGCAACAACCTGTCCATGCACCAGTCGTCCTGGTGAATCGAAGAAGATTTTGGTTGGAATCATCTGTAGTAGGATGAGGGAAGCCTTATCTCCGCGAGAGTACCAATATAATACGGAGCCGAGTTCCTGTCTCTGTACTGCTATTGATTTTTTTTACTGCCTGGCCAATAGTTATCCAATGTGTTTTCCAGGTCTCTGTGAGCCTCTAGCATGTCATACACTGGTCCCCTGCTAAAGCCTTTCCCGTGTCGTACAAAATGACTTGTCGTGTTCTCTTCTATTATGTCATGAAATCTTGATGACAAAGTCGTGTGCAGTTCTCCAGCATTGTCGCGTTCTGGGAAATTATTCCAATCTGTGACATTGTCCCTTCAATATGAGTTGTCGTGTTTCCACAAATTATTCTAATCTCCGACACGTTTTCTGACAAAACTCCATCAATTTTTAAAGATAAATGAGTTGAAGAGTCGTTTCCAATCTGTCAACCGAGTGTAAATTTCAGGCTTCCAGCAAACTTAACCCAAATCACCACACTGCCTACAAATGTTGTTGTAATTTGACAATGCTGCTGCCTAGAGTTGTTGTGGTTGTTGTGGGGAATTGTGCTGGCTTGAAGTGTTGTTGTGGGGAATTATGCTGGCTTGATACGTTGTTGTGGGGAATTATGCTGCTTTGGAGTGTTGTTGTGGGGAGTTATGCTGGCTTGATACGTTGTTGTGGGGAATTATGCTTGTTTGATACGTTGTTGTGGGGAGTTATGCTGCTTTTAAGTGTTGTTGTGGAGAATTATGCTGCTTTTAAGTGTTGTGGGGAATTATGCTGGCTTGAAGTGTTGTTGTGGGGAATTATGCTGCTTTGAAGTGTTGTTGTGGGGAATTATGCTGCTTTGGAGTGTTGTTGTGGGGAATTATGCTGGCTTGATACGTTGTCGTGGGGAATTATGCTGGCTTGATACGTTGTTGTGGGGAACTATGCTGGTTTGATACGTTGTTGTGGGGAACTATGCTGGCTTGATACGTTGTTGTGGAGAGTTATGCTGGCTTGAAGTGTTGTTGTGGGGAATTATGCTGGCTTGATATGTTGTTGTGGGGAGTTATGCTGGCTTGATACGTTGTTGTGGGGAATTATACTGGCTTGATATGTTGTTGTGGGGAACTATGCTGGCTTGATACGTTGTTGTGGGGAACTATGCTGGCTTGATACGTTGTTGTGGGGAATTATGCTGGCTTGATACGTTGTTGTTCCCCAATTGGACGTGACGAGATATGGGGTAACCTGCGCACTTAAACCGGGTTAATAAGAATGATTTATATAAGTTGAAATAACATAATTGTTGTAAAATAAGTGAAGTTAATGTAATGTTTTAATTATCTTTTTGTGTAGGACATGATGCTGCCTGGAGATGTTAAGTGAGGCTTGTACTCACCTACCACATGTAATGTTGTGTAAGACACGATGCTGCCTGGAGATGTTAAGTGAGGCTTGTACTCACCTACCACATGTAATGCTGTGTGGACATCAAAATATGGTGGACAGACCCTATCTCTCACTGCACATCCCCTGTAATGATGCTATACCCACACAAGATTACGTTTCAATGTTTCTCTCACTCCACCTCCCATCAACCAGAACACTTCACATCTGTACAATGTCTGTGTGCACATGATGGAATCTGATATAACATTCCATAATTTCTTATTTTTGTGTGTCTGTGCTGTCGCATACGGTACATTTATACCTCACTACATGCATTCAAACAGCAACGTTAAATGACATTAGTGAGGTCTGTGCATTGAAGGTTTTCTTACTTTGTATGGCCATGTTGTTGATACAGAAATGGATGCATACTGTTTCAATAGTAATGGAGGCACACTATTGTTGAAGATGGAAAAAAGGTGTTTACAGCAGAGAGAAGCCATATATGACAACATACATACAACAGATAAACACAAGGTTGCTATAGAGATACATACTGTTGCTATAGAGATACATACTGTTGCTATATAGATACATACTGTTGCTATATAGATACACAATGTTGCTGAAGAGAAACATACTGTTGCTAGAGAGATACACAATGTTGCTATATAGATACACTGTTGCTATAGAGATACATATTGTTGCTACAGAGATACATACTGTTGCTAAAGAGATACATACTGTTGCTATAGAGATACACAATGTTGCTATATAGATACACTGTTGCTATAGAGATACAAACTGTTGCTATAGAGAAACATACTGTTGCTATAGAGAAACATACTGTTGCTACATAGATACATAATGCTGCTGAAGAGAAACATATTGTTGCTATAGATATACACAATGTTGCTGAAGAGATACATACTGTTGCTATAGAGAAACATACTGTTGCTACATAGATACACAATGTTGCTGAAGAGAAACATACTGTTGCTATAAAGATACACAATGTTGCTGAAGAGATACATACTGTTGCTACATAGATACACAATGTTGCTGAAAAGAAACAAACTGTTGCTACAGAGATACACAATGTTGCTGAAGAGATACATACTGTTGCTACAGAGATACATACTGTTGCTACAGAGATACATTCTGTTGCTATAGAGATACATATGATACTGTTGCTACAGAGATAAATACTGTAACTACAGAGATACATTCTGTTGCTATAGAGATACATACTGTTGCTACAGAAATACATACTGTTGCTATAAAGATACACAATGTTGCTACAGAGATACATACTGTTGCTAGAGAGATACACAATGTTGCTACAGAGATACATACTGTTGCTGTAGAGAGACACACTTGCTATAGAAACAAGAGGCCCAAGGGTCTTAGCGGTCACCTGAGTTTTATTTTAGGTACTGGTAGCTCAATTTCATTGTTGAGATGTGGTGTGGAAATCAACATGTAAACTAAGTGAAATACAATACTTCTTATGTCATCAAAGGATAAGAATTTTAAAAATATTGGTAAATTTTCCCTTTGGGGCCCCACCCTAGCCCCTGGGGATGAGGTAGGAATCCCAATTTTACTATGTAATACCCTCATCCACCAAAGATGATTCTGACCAAGTTTGAATAATTGTCTGCTGAAAATGGATAAAATATACACAAAAGTGTTATTTCCGTATATAAACTACAGTAAACTTTACCCTCTCCCCAAGGTCAAAAAATGGATGGCCCAGGGGTCCTGAAATTTACAATTTAAATAAAGCCCTTTATGATTTTTCATTCCATGCACAGAAATTGACTATAGTACCTCAGAGTCTGGAGAACAGGATTATTGAAATATTGGTTAATTTTCCCTTTGGGGCCCCGCCCTGGCCCAAGGGGTTGGGGTAGGTACCCAATTTTACACTTTTGTAGCCTCATCTACTAAGGATGATTCTGACCAAGTTTAAAAATTCCATTTACTGGTTCTTGAGAAGTCGAAAATGTAAAAAGTTTACGGACGACGGACGTCAACGGAAGGAAAGCGATCAGAATAGGTCACTTGAGCAAAGCTCAGGTGACCTAATAAAAGCTGTTGCTTAAAAATAGTTTGCAACAGAGATTGATTGCTTTAGGTACACATACTGTTGGTATAGAGAAACATGGTTGCTTTTGAGTTACACACTTGCTATAATGATAAAACCTGATGCTAAAGAGATACAAGCATCTTGTCTGCAACAGAGATTGATAAAGGCTTGCTGTTGCTTTAGAGATACAAACTAGTACAGAGCTAGATATGTTGTGTGTTAAAGAGTTTCAGGGATGGAAGTATGCTTCTGCCTAGATACAACAAGGGAGGCTAAAAAACTGGCTTCTGTGACATATGTTTAGGTACATTTCATCTCTGTAAGTCCAGTATATACATATCTGTGGTGATGGCGATTACCCATCATGCACCCTAACCAGATGTAATGATGGATTGATGTGTGACAGCTGGATGGCCAGAGGTCATTACAATGACCTTGTGAGATATGTTACCAGATGTAAACATTCCTTCCCCTGATAAACTGTCCTGTCTAGTAAAAGGCAATACACATCTCTGTTACAACAGACACACCAACACAAATCTCCATAAAAATCTTCTTATGACACAAACCTCACTAACTCCACTCCTCCCTATCATTACTATAAGATTGTGGTGGGACGTTCCACTCTTTTGGTTAATATGACAATAATACTGTAAGATTACTTATTTTTGCGGACACAAATTTTAGCGTTTTATGGAATATTAACCCATTCACCCCTATAGATCTAAACTTGACTTGCCCACTCTTTGATTTGGTAAGGTTCAAATGTGACTTTAGGGCTGAATGGGTTAACAGATAAGCATACTGATGAATTGGTGCACTCAAAATATCTGCAATAGAAAACTTCATATCTAAATTTTAAATAGAGCGATCATAAATTATCGCAATGTTTAAAGTGCAAAAAGCTCTAAAATTATAATACCATTAAAATATGTGCGTTCTCAGTAATAACACTGTTTCCCTTCAGTCAGATTGCAGGGAGACATGTCTACTCTTGCACCACTTTAACTTGTGCATAATGGGTTTGGCTAATTCGTACGATTTGGTTGAGATTTATGCATCATGTACTTGTTTAACATGTTTGATTTGATTGGGATAAGACCCTGACTTGTTGGCGGATTGGTCGAGTGGTTAACACTCAGACCTTCCAAACAGGCAGCTGGAGTTTGACCCCCGAGGTCGTCGTGCGCAACTCCAACAACCCAGGTGGAGTATAAATTGGTCGTGGGTGGATGTTGCGGTATCTGTGCTTTAGCATTCAAGTGAGGTGGCACTATAAATGATACCGTTGGAAGTACGGTCCCACTACAAACAGAACACATTACATCTCCAACACACACGCAGGCATACACACATAGGGAGATATTAGCCAGGTGGCATAGGGCTAGTAGTAAGCGCCCGATAAGGCAGCTCCTGGGAATTCCTCAAAAATTGTATTAATTAATATACCGGTATATGAGAATTGTATTCAATGTATGTCTGTGCACTGTAAAGTGCTTTAGAGTGGCTTAAGTTAGTGAGATAGGGCGCTATATCAAATGCTGTATATTATTATTAATATACACTGAGAATTGTTAAATGATGCGTTTGTGTGGTATAAGACCTGAATATACTTCCATATTTATCCAGAAACCCATGCTTGATAATAAGACCACCAATATCTATTGCAGTTCAGTAGAAATTACTAGAAATGCTATTCCATTGTCCTGTGATAGGCCCGCCCCCTATTTTGAATCAGTAATTAGGTGTTGATTCCCTGTGCTTATTGCAGGATAAATAGAGTAAATATAAGAATCTAGTTTGATTTCTGACCTTGTTTGATATATTCAATTGACCTTGCATTATTTGTTTGATTGGTATTTGAACTTAAACATACTGATATTATTAAGCTTGATACATTTGATTCAGTAACAACCTGAATTTACTGAGATTGTGTGGGACAAGATATCAAAATATAATATAAGAACCTTGCTTGATATATTGGGTTATTGACTTTGATTGATATATTGGGTTACTGACCTAGTTTGATATATTGGGTTACTGACCTAGTTTAATATATTGGGTTACTGACCTAGTTTGATATATTCGGTTACTGACCTAGTTTGATATCTTCGGTTACTGACCTAGTTTGATATATTGGGTTACTGACCTAGTTTGAAATATTCGGTTACTGACCTAGTTTGATATATTCGGTTACTGACCTAGTTTGATATATTCGATTACTGACCTAGTTTGATATATTCGGTTACTGACCTTGTTTGATCTGTTTGATTTGGTTCAGACTCTCCTGTAGTATTGCACACTTCTCCGGTTTCACTGAGAAGGAGTTCATGTCCGTGATCCTTGCTGAAATTAACTCTGCAAGCTCCTCGAAGTACAGGTTCTCCTGGTCCCTACGCCGCCGTTCATTTAGGCATTTCTGTCTGAAAAACACAAATGAATTGTCTTTTCTTAAAAGTTCTCTAACATTTGGAAATACATCAAGGACTATTATAACATATTGTCTGTCTATTTGAATACAGTTGGAAATATTGTTAAATTTGTGATACTTGTGTCATATGTACTGTTATATTTACTTTCAGAACATTTGGAAACATTATGATCAAGCTTGCTATCTCCCTTTACATGTATCATGCATATTAATTAAATTGCTAATTAAATACACAAGACAACAATGTAGGTAGAGTACATCATTTGTTGTAAATCTGATTCCATTGTCTGTTTGATTTCATAGTCTAGCTACAGGATAACAAAATGTGTATGTCTGATTCCGTAGCATTTATACTTGACATCAAATGTTGTAATTCTATATATAAGTCAGTATACACACAGGACAATCCTGTATATCTTATGAGCCATGATAGAATCGCCATATCTTATTCATACCTCACTGAATTGCCTACAGTTTTGAGTAAAACATTTCTTAGAAATGACAACTGTATTCCAGGACATCATGTAAACATGTTTATTTCAAATGTAAGTTTAAAACATACCTGTATACAAATATACCTGTAGACAAACATACCTCAGTATACAAATATACCTGTAGACAAACATCCTTGTCTACTGTAGACAAATATACATGCAGACAAATATACCTGTATACAAACATACCTGTATACAAACATCCTTGTCTACTGTAGACAAATATACCTGCAGACAAACATACTTGTCTACTGTAGACAAATATACCTGCAGACAAACATACTTGTCTACTGTAGACAAATATACCTGTAGACAAATATACATGTAGACAAATATACCTGTAGACAAAGATACCTGTAGACAAACATACCTGTAGACAAATATACCTGTATACAAACATACCTGTAGACAAACATACTTGTCTACTGTAGACAAATATACCTGTAGACAAAACAAATATACCTGTATACAAACATACTTGTCTACTGTAGCCAAATATACCTGTAGACAAATATACCTGTAGACAAATATACCTGTAGACAAATATACCTGTAGACAAATATACCTGTAGACAAACATACTTGTCTACTGTAGACATAATATACCTGTATACAAATATACCTGTATACAAACATACTTGTCTACTGTAGCCAAATATACATGTAGACAAATATACCTGTAGACAAATATACCTGTATACAAACATACCTGTATACAAACATACTTGTCTACTTTAGACAAATATACCTGTATACAAACATACTTGTCTACTGTAGACAAATATACCTGTAGACAAACATACCTGTATACGAATATACCTGTAGACAAACATCCGTGTCTACTGTAGACAAATATACTTGTAGACAAATATACCTGTATACAAATATACCTGTATACAAACATACTTGTCTACTGTAGACAAATATACCTGTAGACAAACATACTTGTCTACTGTAGACAAATATACCTGTAGACAAACATACCTGTATACAAATATACCTGTAGACAAACATCCATGTCTACTGTAGACAAATATACTTGTAGACAAATATACCTGTAGACAAACATACCTGTATACAAATATACCTGTAGACAAAGATACCTGTATACAAATATACCTGTAGACAAACATACTTGTCTACTGTATACAAATATACCTGTATACAAATACACCTGTTTACAAAACACTGTTTGTGACTGTCAAGAACTGCCAAGTGATATACCGGTATACACATATCGCTGTATACAAATATACCTGTATACAAATATACCTGTAGACAAAATAGCAATATACAAATATACCTGTATACAAATTTACCTGTCGACAAACATATACCTGTATACAAATATACCTGTTTCCAAATAGCTGTATATAAAAATGCTGTGTGCAAATATACCTGTATACAAACATACTTGTATACAAATATACACATTTCAGCATCTTATACCCTATTTGGAAGGGTCCCCAGGGGTTCTCAAAATCTAGATTTTTGTTTTTCAGATTTTATAACTTTTGAGGTCATTTAGAGTCAGATCACTTCTGCCATCAAATTAGCTAGGTTTTCAGTTCAGAAAATGAAACAAACTTAAAAGAAAACGAAAGATGAAGGAACAATCAGACAGCAAAAGGCATGCTACAGAGTCAAATGTTCAACAGAACAAACATGACAAGCTGGCAACCCCATTTGATCCAAAACCATACTGAGAAATTCTTAATTTTTCAAAAGAGTTATAACACCAACCCCGGAACAATGCTCTGTGGAGGAGGAAGAAAGAAGTATGCTAAATAAACCAAGTATCATAATAAATGCTGATTCAGTGGCCAATGCAGTGTTAATGGGGAATTAACTTGGAAGAAGGATAAATATATAAAGGAGACATTAAATTCATATCTCTACTGCTACTGTGGTCAGAAAATATCAAATAAAGGCTTCAGTAATTGTCATTCAAACACCCCTGGGTCTTTACCTGGTCATGTATTATTATTACGGTATGTATTATATATACTGTATATACTTCTATGTATATATGCAACTCTTTTTAATGTTTTACCTTTTCTCTGCTATACCTAAGTATACAATGTATTCCTCCTATACACCTATATGTTTCTAACGTCTTTACACCTGTCTCTGTTTTAGTAGTATTTATGTATCGTGTACCAGTACTTCTGTTTACATGTATATCCTTCCTTCACACATTAACCCTTTCACCCCTATGTAACTTTAGTAGACTCTACCATGCATTTATCTGGATGAGTCCATTATGGTCTACAGTGGTGAAAGGGTTAACACTAGATTCTATAGCCCTTACTTTTTAAACACCTGCGCACACACAGACTATATCTAACAAGGGATGAATATATATGATCTATATCCAATGTAGTGAGGTTATTCCCAAGTCTAGTGTAAAGCTTCAGTAAACAGCAGTTAGCTGTATGTTTATATGTTACACTTGATGATAGACTCTGGAGAAAGCCCATCTCTATCGAGTCAGCATAGACATCAGACTTCAGAACAATAGGAATTCAGCAATAGGCAAAGCCTACAACAGCTGTTTCCTTAAAACATAAAAACAAGTTTGGTTTGTCTTGTTTAACATCCTATTAACAGCTAAGGTCATTTAAGGACGTGCCTCTGTGTGTGTTATGTATGAGCACATGTGTGTATGTGTGCCGCAGACTGGGTATGTTGGAGTCCTTGCCTTCTTGTGATAGCGCGGAGCTGATGACGACTTTATAGTGCTATCTCACTGAAATACTATGCAGAAGGCAACCAGCACAGCATACCGCCCGGTCACATTTTACTGACAACAGGTGAACCAGCTGTTGCCATTCCCCTTAATGCTGAACGTTAAGCAGGGAATAACAACTACCATTTTTAAGGACTTTGGTATGTACCGGCCTTGGGATAGAACCCACTGCCTTCCTCACCTAGGCAAACTCTCAACATTAAAGCCAAAGGTAAAGTATTGCCAAGCAAGGCACTAGGAAATCAAAATTAGTTAGAAAATCCATACACATGTGGGCAATTTATGTATGCAAACCTCCATATACCAGGTAGAAGTACTATCCCAGCGGAGGAGCAGAGACATGGGGTTTTCCCCTCTATATACCAGGTAGAACTACTATCCTAGCTGAGGAGCAGAGATATGCGTCTCACCTCTATATACCAGGTCGAAGTACTAGCCTAGCTGAGGAGCAGAGATATGCGTCTCACCTCTATATACCAGGTAGAAGTACTATCCTAGCGGAGGAGCAGAGATATGCGTCTCACCTCTATATACCAGGTAGAAGTACTATCCTAGCTGAGGAGCAGAGATATGCGTTTCACCTCTATATACCAGGTAGAAGTACTATCCTAGCGTAGGAGCAGAGATATGCGTTTCACCTCTATATACCAGGTAGAAGTACTATCCCAGCGGAGGAGCAGAGACATGGGGTTTCCCCTCTATATACCAGGTAGAAGTACTATCCTAGCAGAGGAGCAGAGACATGGGGTTTTCCCCTCTATATACCAGGTAGAAGTACTATCCTAGTAGAGGAGCAGAGACATGGGGTTTCCCCTCTATATACCAGGTAGAAGTACTATCCTAGCCGACGAGCAGAGATATGCGTTTCACCTCTATATACCAGGTAGAAGTACTATCCCAGCGGAGGAGCAGAGATATGGGGTTTCCCCTCTATATACCAGGTAGAAGTACTATCCTAGCCAAGGAGCAGAGATATGCGTTTCACCTCTATATATCAGGTAGAAGTACTATCCTAGCGGAGGAGCAGAGATATGCGTTTCACCTCTATATGCCAGGTAGAAGTACTATCCCAGCGGAGGAGCAGAGATATGGGGTTTCCCCTCTATATACCAGGTAGAAGTACTATCCTAGCGGAGGAGCAAAGATATGTGTTACCCCTCGATATACGAGGTAGAAGTACTATCCTAGCGGAGGAGCAGAGATATGTGTTACCCCTCGATATACGAGGTAGAAGTACTATCCTAGCGGAGGAGCAGAGATATGTGTTACCCCTCAATACAGGTAGAAGTACTATCCTAGCGGAGGAGCAGAGATATGCGTTTCACCTATCTCTGTGACAGGTGTGTAACCACACAGGTATATCTATTTCACAAGTTTTAGCGTTTCCAAGCAATATATCAACCTACACCCAAAGACACTGACACGGACGACAGATTCCCTGTTGTTCGAGGCCAGGTGATTGTTAGTATGATCTGTTATACAATTATATGGACTAAAGTTTTGCAGGTTTGACTCCTGTATACCCCAAAAAATCGCTGCAGTTTAACTTTTGTCGTTTTTTGTTTTCCGCAATGAGGGAGAATTTATCATAATTTGTGATTTAATAGAATATTAGTTAACAACATGATAGTAATTAATTAAGATCAATATCAAAGTTTAGTACCAGTGAAGGGTGTAAAGTTGGACTGAGCCAATGTTTCCCAGTATACAAACAGTATGATCTGGCTAAATTATTCCCTCGAATATAACAAGGTACCACTATGTCAAATTTACCCATTCACCCCTGAAATTTCATAATGAAATATTCCAACCTTTGAATTGGAAGAGTTTGAATGTGTCTTGAGGGGTGAATGACTTGAAAGCAGTAATCTTGCAAAGGACAAACATACAAGTAATGTTAGCTGTATATATGTCCTTTCAGGCCCTCACTATATACTGTTGTGCGAGTCCTCTGTCACCTAACATTACGACTGGGTGTTTTATTTTCTAATTTCTTCTTGCAATGACAGAAAACTACAGCTTTATATAACACATGACTAACACGTGTATACTTCAGAAAGGGACCTTATACTGCTGTCACTGCGATACAGCGGTACCTATTTGCTGTACAATGATATTTGTAATGCTGCTCAGAAAACAATCTTGTATGTTGTATACTGTTCAGGTCTTAAATGTGAAATTAAAACATGACATTCACTATATTTGCTGCAAACTTGAGCGTACAAGCTATATGAAAACAGTTCCGTTTATGTTTTGATGAAAATCCAATACAGGTGTATTGTATTTGTATAGGACTCAACGTTGTGCTAATGGTGAACAAGTCTTATCAGGTTTTTTCTTTAAATGCTCAAGGCTGCGGTGTATACGTGTGTCAAATTCAAGGCTGCGTTTTTTACCTGTAAAACCATACAAAGAGTGAGTAGTGTGTACGATACAGCTGTTCACAATTATTTTCCCATATACATAAATTAAAACTTGAATTCATTCAGACTGAGTCTATTTGTTCCTTCAGTTTATAATCTATGAAACGATATCCATTCCCAATTCACATGTTTTGTAATAACGCTAAGTACATGCACATTATAATATGCAAATACTTTTTATAACTGTCAAAGCAAACAGTGTCCAGAGTCCTGATATATATATAGCTACTTGTGAACTGCCAGGCAATATGGGGCATGTAGCTATAACATACAGTTGGAGGATCGTATGGCTATAAGGGACCACTGTGTATGTGATGCCATGTAGATATAAGGAACACTCCCTGTGTTAAATTAGCAAGAAAGTCACACATCAATGAGGTCCAAAATACAATATTTTAAATCTAATATAATTATATACACACTATTTCTCGAACATTTCACTGTTAAGTAAACACCATTTATTTGTTTACATGCACGCACATGATATTTAATATCATATTTAAATATATATGAGGTGTTTTTTGCTATTTAATTTCTTTTTCATACATAACCAAGCATTGCGCTGGTTCAGTAAATTTAGCCTTCTTACAAATACATTTGATTACCCCTACCATCTATATATACAGAACATTACCCAACTCCAACCCCAGTATATAACCAGTGTACTACCCCTACAATCTATATATATACAAAACATTACCCAACTCCAACCCCAGTATATAACCAGTGTACTACCCCTACAATCTACATATATACAAAACATTACCCAACTCCAACCCCAGTATATAAACAGTGTACTACCCCTACAATCTTTATATATACAAAACATTACCCAACTCCAACCCCAGTATATAACCAGTGTACTACCCCTACAATCTACATATATACAAAACATTACCCAACTCCAACCCCAGTATATAAACAGTGTACTACCCCTACAATCTATAAAAAACAGTATACTACCCCTACCATCTATATAAACAGTGTACTACCACTACAATCTATATAAACAGTGTACTACCCCTACCATCTATATATATATACAGTGTACTAACCCTACCATCTATATATATACAGAACTTCATACCCCACTCCAACCCCAGTATATAAACAGTGTACTACCCCTAACATCTATATAAACAGTGTACTACCCCTACCATCTATATAAACAGTGTACTACCCCTGTATATAAACAGTGTACTAACCCTACCCCTGTATATAAACAGTGTACTAACCCTACCATCTAATTAACACAAATATATTACCCTCTTCAACGGTATACAAACAGTTTACCGTCCCTACCCCAGTATATAAACAGTGTATTACCCCTAACCAAGTATATAAATGGTGTATTACCCCTAACCCAGTATATAAACGGTGTATTACCCCTAAACCAGTATATAAACGGTGTATTGCCCCTACCCCAGTATATAAATAGTGTACCATCCCTACCCCAGTATATATATATATCTGTATTACAACCTACAATGGTATATGAACAGTATATATCACACCTTCCTCAGTATATAAACAGTGTACAATTCCTACCCCAGTATATAAACAGTGTACCATCGCTACCCCAGTATATAAACAGTATACCACCCCTACCCCAGTATATAAACAGTATATTTCCCTACCACAGTATATTACCAGTGTACCATCCCTACCCCAGTATATATATATATATATCTGTATTACAACCTACAATGGTATATGAACAGTATATATCACACCTTCCTCAGTATATAAACAGTATACCATCCCTATCCTATATAAACAGTACTATGTACCACTGTAACCCCTGTGTATTCAGTTGTAAAATGCTAACTTGTGCCTCTCTGTTTTTGTGCCAGATCTAGCATACAAGAGCTCTTGTCTGCCTCTACCACTACTGATATGCCACTAGCTATAAATAACATGTCAACTTACCACATACTGATGTATTGAGTTTTAAATCCACAAACAAGATGGTTGCTTTTTTTTACACAATCCACTCTACTAAGTATATATATAGGTATGGGTCACTGACTACTGTAACACAAGCACAATCTTCACACACATACAGTCCCTGGTCTAGCTGTTATACTGGTTCACACAGACATATTCCAGTAACACCATAGACATTAACACATGGCCGCGGCCGAGGTTATGGTGTCCATCAGGACATAAACACAGCACAATCTCGTCTACCTGTACATGACACCCCACGTCACATGGTGACTAGATCCCAAGGGATTGACTGCAGGATCCCCGTTTTGGTGCAAGGGGGTAGGGATCGACCCCCCTAGCCCCAGAATCCCATGTGTAATCCCATGATGTTCGTGCAGGTCTGGCTCACTGTGAATACACTGAAGACTGGGCAGCCACTGTGAGCCAATGTTACCTGTATATCACCAGCCTTGCCATACAATACACAGCTTTACATAAGCTATTTACACAGCACAAACAATACAAGGTCACTCACCACTAGCCTGTACAGGTAAGGCTGGGCTGGTGTTCAATATAGGCTACAATACACATGCTCCAGGCTGTAATCACTGTATGAGACTTGTATTCACCAAACTCTGTTATAACCACTGTATGAGACTTGTACTCACCAAACTTTGTTATAACCACTGTGTGAGGCTTGTACTCACCAAACACTGTTATTACCACTGTATGAGACTTGCACTCATTGCGATGTCTGACATCAGAAATAGAATCTGTTTATCATGGAGACGTTTTGAATTCAGAAATAAAACCTGGTTTTCATTAAGTTGTCTGACATCAGCAATACAACCTGTTTATAATGGAGATGTCTGACATACTTTGTTATAACCACTGTATCAGACTTGTACTCACCAGACACTGTTATACCCACTGTGTGAGACTTGTACCCTACCCCTGTATATAAACCGTGTACTAACCCTACCATCTAATTAACACAAATATATTACCCTCTTCAACGGTATACAAACAGTTTACCGTCCCTACCCCAGTATATATATATATATATACTGGGGTAGGAATTGTACACTGTTTATATACTGGGGTAGGGATGGTACACTATTTATATACTGGGGTAGGAATTGTACACTGTTTATATAGCTGGTAGGGGTAGTACACTGTTTATATAGATGGTAGGGGTAGTACACTGTTTATATACAGGGGTAGGGTTAGTACACGGTTTATATACAGGGGTAGGGTTAGTACACGGTTTATATACAGGGGTAGGGGTAGTACACTGTTTGGTGAGTACACAGCCTCACACAGGGGTTATAACAGTGGTAGGTGAGTGCAAGTCTCACACAGTTGTTATAACAGTGGTAGGTGAGTGCAAGTCTCATACAGTGGTTATAACAGGGTTTGGTGAGTACAAGTCGCACACAGTGGTTATAAAAAAGGTTGGTGAGTACAAGTCTCCCACAGTGGTTATAACAAAGTTTGGTGAGTACAAGTCGCACACAGTGGTTATACCCGTGTGTGTCAGGAACAAATCTCACATACTGGTTATAACAGTGTCTGGGGAGTCCACAGTCTCACACAGGGGTTATAACAGGGTGTGTTGGGAACAAATCTCACACAGTGGTTATAACAGAGTATGAGACTTGTACTCACCAAACTTTTTTATAACCACTGTGTGAGGCTTGTACTCACCAAACACTGTTACAACCACTGTGTGAGACTTGTACTCACCAAACACTGTTATAACCACTGTGTGAGATTTGTTCCTGACACACACTGTTATAACCACTGTGTGAGACTGTGTACTCACCAAACACGGTTATAACCACTGTGTGAGACTTGTACTCACCTACTACTGTTATAACCACTGTGTGAGACTGGGTACTCACCAAACACTGTTATAACCACTGTGCGAGATTTGTTCCTGACACACACTGTTATAACCACTGTGTGAGACTTGTACTCACCAAACACTGTTATAACCACTGTATGAGACTTGCACTCATTGCGATGTCTGACATCAGAAATACAACCTGTTGATCATGTAGATGTCTGACATCAGAACTACAACCAGTTAATCATGTAGATGTCTGACATCAGAAATACAACCTGTTTTTCATTAAGATGTCTAACATCAGAAATACAACCTGTTTATCATGGAGATGTCTGACATCAGAAATACAACCAGTTAATCATGGAGATGTCTGACATCAAAAATACAACCTGTTAATCATGGTGATGTCTGACATCAGAAATACAACCTGTTTATCATGGAGATGTCTGCCATCAGAAATAAAACCAGTTAATCATGTAGATGTCTGACATCAGAAATACAACCTGTTAATCATTGAAAAGTCTGACATCAGAAATACAACTTGTTTTTCATTAAGATGTCTGACATCAGAAATACAACCTGTTTATCATGGAGATATCTGACATCAAAAATGCAACCTGCTTTGGAGATGTCTGACATCAGAAATACAACCTGTTTATCATGGAGATGTCTGACATCAGAAATACAACCTGTTTAACATGGAGATGTCTGACATCAGAAATGCAACCTGTTTATCATAAAGATGTCTGACATCAGAAATACAACCTGTTTATCATGGAGATGTCTGACATCAGAAATACAACCTGTTTATCATGGAGATGTCTGACATCAGAAATACAACCTGTTTATCATGGAGATGTCTGACATCAGAAATACAACCTGTTTATCATGGAGATGTCTGACATCAGAAATACAACCTGTTTATCATGGAGATGTCTGACATCAGAAATACAACCTGTTTATCATGGAGATGTTTTGAATTCAGAAATACAACCTGTTTTTCATTAAGATGTCTAACATCAGAAATACAACCTGTTTATCATGGAGATGTCTGACATCAGAAATACAACCTGCTTTGGAGATGTATGACATCATAAATACAACCTGTTTATCATAAAGATGTCTGACATCAGAAATACAACCTGTTTATCATGGAGATGTCTGACATCAGAAATACAACCAGTTAATCATGTAGATGTCCGACATCAGAAATACAACCTGTTATAGAGATGTCTGACATCAGAAATACAACCTGTTTATCATGGAGATGTCTGACATCAGAAATACAACCTGTTTATCATGGAGATGTTTTGAATTCAGAAATACAACCTGGTTTTCATTAAGATGTCTGACATCAGCAATACAACCTGTTTATCATAGATATGTCTGCCATCAGAAATACAATTAGTTAATCATGTAGATGTCTGACATCAGAAATACAACCTGTTTATCATTGTGATGTCTGACATCAGAAATACAACCTATTTATCATGGAGATGACTGACATCAGAAATACAACCAGTTAATCATGAAGATGTCTGACATCAGAAATACAACCTGTTTATCATTAAGATGTCTGACATCAGAAATACAACATGTTTATCATGGAGATGTTTGACATCAGAAATACAACTAGTTAATCATTGCGATGTCTGACATCAGAAATACAACCTGTTTATCATGGAGATGTCTGACATCAGAAATACAACCTGTTTATCATTGAGATGTCTGACATCAGAAATACAACCTATTTATCATGGAGATGTCTGACATCAGAAATACAACCAGTTAATCATGTAGATGTCTGACATCAGAAATACAACCTATTTATCATGGAGATGTCTGACATCAGAAATACACCCTGTTTATCATTGAGATGTCTGACATCAGAAATACAACCAGTTAATCATGTAGATGTCTGACATCAGAAATACAACCTATTTATCATGGAGATGACTGACATCAGAAATACAACCAGTTAATCATGAAGATGTCTGACATCAGAAATACAACCTGTTTATCATGAAGGTGACCGACATAATGACATCAAATGCCTTCTATTAATTAACTCACCAGGAAGACAGGAGTCAATCCATAAAAGAAAACCACAGAAACCCAAGATGAAAACAAAATCTTTAAAATCTTTATGAAGACATAACTGCAAAAACCTGGAAACAAGTAACTAAATCTGTTTGGGAAGCAAACTGCAAAACTGAAATCGAGAAAAGAGCAAAAACCTGGAGAAGATTGAGAGTTTGGGAAGAATATAAACAGTAGCAGGTGATTTACAAGCAGGAGAAATGATAACCATCCCCTTATCTAGTTATAGCTGTAAGTTAGGCCAACTCATGTAGACTACTTTTTCCAGCTGGAACCAGCTGATAGCATCCCGTGGGAATGATGGCAGAGAGCAAAGCACATGCCACACAGGAGAAGTAGAAAGACGAGAAGAGAAGTAAAAGAAATAGGAAAGAAGAAAGTTTTAGTACTAACCTAAACATTTTGACAATAATTTGGTGATGTTACAAATACGCAGCAGATTATATAATTACCCCACACACTACTGAGATAACTTAGCCAGTGCTTAGATTTCTTGTTATCCTATTTTTCAATGGGATTCTGACAATCTTTTTGTATTTGTTAATTACAAATGAATAGAACTTTGCTGTACTTTTTGAAATTGTAAAATTTGGAAATAATAAACTAACTATGTTCATTAAGATCTTCTTTAGTTTGAAATCTTTCAGGAGAAGGTAGTTGATGGATTGCCAGTAGCCAATACTTAACGAGTAGACACATTCCTATATAGAAATGGTACCACACAAACAAAGTTTAGCATGGAAATCATTAGCTTAGATATTCTCGTAAATGAAAGTGAAGTTGAACAGTTTAGTCAGCTAGTGAAACATACCACAGGAACAAACATGTACAGATTAATTCATTCTTCTCTGAAATTTCATAATGAACTATTCCAATCTTTGAATTGGAAGAGTTCAAATGTGTATCAAGGGGTGAATGAGTTTTGGTTGAAAATTACATTTTTTTTCTTCTTAAAAGCTGCCAAAAACCATCAATTACCTCCACAAATTATGTTGTGACATGCCAACCAAGGAGCCCCTGTCGAACTGTTTGATAACATTTGAACTTCAATGTGCTGGTAGGCACAGGTTCGACTCCTAGCCATAGGGTTACTTCGTGTGAGATCTCTAAACCAGGTCTGTAATGGTTTTTACTTTTACAGCCAAACCTAAGTATGATGTCCCCTGTTCTATTTGTGACCTNGGAAGCAGTCAGACTAGTAACGGATTAAAGTACAGTGTACTAGTGACTCAGAAGCAGTCAGACTAGTAACAGATTAAAGTACAGTGTTCTAGTGACTCAGAAGCAGTCGGACTAGTAACATATTAAAGTACAGTGTACTAGTGACTCAGAAGCAGTCAGACTAGTAACAGATTAAAGTACAGTGTACTAGTGACTC